CACAAGCTTTCCCCTGTCTGTCCCTTTTTTCTGTCCCTTTTCCTGTCCCTGTGTTGTCCCCTGCCCAGAGGTCCCCAGGGTCCCCAGGCACCCTCAGGGGGAGCAGGTTGGGCCATAAATCCCAGGCTGTGTCCCTGAACAGACCCTCCTGAGGGGCTGGACTTGCTCTCGAAGCTGGGGCTGCCTTCTGCCCCTTTTGCTCTTTGGAACCCCATGGGATTGGTGGCTGTGGTGACAGCATGTCCCCAGAATGTCACACCCCTGCCCAAGGGTCCCCAGGAGGACACCTCTGCCCTGCCCAAAGGGTCTCCAGGCTGTCACACACCCCCCTGTCCTGCCCAAAGGGTCCCCAAGGTGTCACACCCCTACCAAAGGGTCCCCAGGAGGACAGGCTGCACGGGATAACCCAGAGACAGAACAAACCCTCTGGAGCACCCCCAGCTGTGCTCCAGCCTGAGCCTTTCCCCTTCTGCTGGCTCCACATGGCAGGAATGAGGGGAAAGGCCCCGGGTTTGGCCGTGAATTTGTAGCAAAGTGGGAACAGAGATCTGCACCCTCACCCCTCCTGCAGCATGTCAAGAATTTTCCTGTGAAACCTTTCCAAGCACTGAAGCTGCTGCAGTGATTGATCCCCTCGAAGGAGGGACATTCAGGACACATTTGTCAGCTGTGGAGGAGACCTTACAATAATTAATTTGGTTTAATTAGACAGAAAGTCTGAGCCAAACTGTCTAATGAAAGCTTCTCCAAGGCCTGGGATGTTTCCAGCATGGATCAGAGGTCTGGGTGCTCAGCGCTGGCCAGGCCAGAGGAGCCCCACTCCAGCAGATCCCCCTTGGGCAGCAGCAAGCTCCCTGCCCACTCACACAGCCCTTGGTGTAGAGCAGCCTTGGTGCATCCATGGATTTCCTGGCTGTCCTGGAGCTGGGAGCTGTGGAACTCCTCCCTCCAGAGCAGTGCCCACCAGCCAGGCACCGAGAGCCTGACCCCCAGGGAAGTTCCTGCCAGCTTGGTGTGCATTACTGGAATTCTGCAACATGAGGACGGCTCCTATCCCTTCTTGGCCTTTCCTAGCTCATATTTTCACTCCAACAACAATAAGGACAAGTTGTAAATCACCAGTGAAGGGTCTGGAGTCGGCTCTGAGGTTTCTCCAATGTTTTCTCCACAGGGATGACAAATAACAACCTTTTCCTAAAACACAACCTGAACCCTTTGGACCAAAATGGACCTTTCTGGCTCTCCCAGTCCCTGCTCTGTGCTGGCAGGCAGGAGCAGGACCTGTGCCAGGAGCTGCTCATTCCCAGGGATGCCATTCCACAGGCCCAGCACCGTTCTGAGAAAGAGTTAAGAGGGCAAAACACAGCATTGTGATTATTGCTTCCTCCAGGCCTGGGACAAGGAAGAGGAGGGGAAGAACAGAGCCCAGCCACGAAAAGGCATTTCCCTGATAACAAACACCATCACAGGAATTATGCACAAAATGTGTCCCGAGCCCAGATATTTGTTTATTCAACACACACTGCGCAAAGCTCTCCCCTCCACCTCCCTCCTGTGCACACACGGGTCCAGGGAAACAGAAAATGCAGGGAGGGCCCTGCAGCTGCGGTCTGGAGGGACACAGCACATCTGAGGCCACCCCTGCCCGTCCCAGATCTGCTGGACACGTTGTGCTCCTCAGTTCCCATCCCCAGGGAGACCCAAAGCGGCAGCACAGCTGTGGCTGTCACCCAGCTGTGCCTCACAGCTGGAGTGGTTTAACCCAGCAGCCCCACAGGGCTTCCAGGGAAATCCATGTCCAAGCTGGG